GATAATCTTTGGCAGTGCTCGCCAAAATCCAAAACACATATACCGCTAGATCCAGTCATTATACATTTCAAGGACTTTATCCTTACACACATGCACAAAGATATCATGCGAGATACTTCCAGCATCTGTGACTGAGAGCTGGGATGGGTAGCTCAGGGGTAGAGCACTCACCCACCATACATGCAGCCCTGGGCTCCATTCCAGCACTAAAAACAGTTAGGATAAGATACTTCTATGCCTTCAGTCACAGAAACCCACTGAGATGAGCTAGATTAAAGAGCAGGTGGCTTGTTGCTTCATGGGCAGGAAAAGGTTCTGCAGGTTGGTCCACAACACTGTAAATAAACTATTGAACTGTACACTTAAAAATGGTCACGGCAGTAAATTTTGTTATATGAAAAGCAGGTTGCAGAATAATAATACACCTTAAGATTACATTTACACTTGCTATAACCTTCAAAGAAATATCTCAATCATGTGTATGAGCATATATGCATCTAGAAAAATTAACAGAAACATCTCGATAAAAATCAGTATGTCAAGCTGCTAGAAGTTATTTCTGGAGAGAGAACTGGCATCATCGGGTGTGGAGAGGTTATAAAGAGGAACTCCACACTTCATTCTGTTGCATAATTTCTGTGTTGGAGTTACTGAAATTACTTGCATGCACTTTTCTTTAGATGCATTCATTCATTCAGCAGATACCAAGCACGTGTCCCTCATTAGCTGTCTTTTGGAACCAGGTCAGACAGTTTCTCATCTCCCCTCTTCCTTTTCCTCTTCCTCGCAGACTGCCACGGAGAACAGTGGCGCTTTTTGTCCTCCTGCCCCTCCTGCAGGTGAGTGGGTGGGTGAGGGGCAGGTTCCAGCCTCACCATGAGGACCACTTCCTTAGAACACACTTAGGATCAGAAAAGGAGAGTGAGAAAACTACAGGCCCCTCTAGGTCTTAATGCAAACACCAGCTCTCTGCACCAGACTCCCACTAACCAGTCTGGTCTCAGCCTCAGATGAGATCGTGGTTTCTTTGAAAAGTAAACCTTTGCCGGGGGAACTCAGAGCCATACATCTCCAAATCACAGGGTGAGGACGGGGAGCAGTCAGCTCATTCTGAAACCTGAGACCTCGTTACCCAAGGCCTCCAGCTGTTTGAGGAACAAGAGATGCACAGCTGCCTGGCTGGGCAGGGAGCAAGAGCATGTTTGACACGGACTCAGACTGAGGGGCTCTGCCAGTGACCACCAGATTGGGGCAGAGCCGCCAGGCAGGACACTCACGTGCGGTCTCTGAGGACACTGCACACCCAGGCCTCGGGGTCACTAATCCCTCAGGGTCAGAGAGGTGCAGACTAGTTAGCTCTCTCGGTCACATGAGGCCCCGGGGACAAACAGCAGGGAGGGGCGGCCAGGGGAAAAAGCCAGTCCTAATATTTCACTTGCAAATCCTGGCAGGGCTGTTAGATGAGAGTAGGAAACTGTACTGTCCCTGAGAGCGAGAAAATTATGCAAATGAGTACATTTTGCATGCCAGTCCTGGTCCCTAAAAATGACCTACCAGGCACAGGTTCCACCAGCCCAGGGCCCCACCTGGCATCCTGCAGGCCTCATGGCCAAGAGACTCCCGACCAAAGGCTTTGGGTAGTGACTTACCCGGGGAGCAATAGTTCTTCCGTCCCTTACCCTGTTAACCATGTTTGAGATGTGTGAAACATAAAAAGGATAGAGGTGTGAGCACATTAATTTCACCATTTGTCGCAGAGAGGCCCCCAGGGCTTGACGCTGCTCCTGAGTGGTGCAGGGAGAGGGCGGCGGTGGGGAGGCTGCAGAGGGCCAGGGCTTGGAGCGGCAGAGGCAAGAGCGGGGAGCCGGGACTACCCCCCGCCCCGCTCTTCTAGGAGGCCCCTAACTTCACCTGAAGCCCTCCTTTTGATAACGATTCATAAAATGCCTAGCGACAGATAATGTAAGTCTAAGGTATTGCTTTGTAAGGCTTTTTACAAAATAATGAGCTGAAAAATCGACGGGGAAATACCCGCCAGACTCTGTTCCCAAATCTTGGTTTTAGGAAGCTAACACTGTGAGGGGAATCCAGGTTGAAGGGGCGGGAGAGAAACTGCACCGAAACTGGGTGCCCCAGGGGGCCAACCAGGATTTCTGAGTCAAAGGTCAGACTGAAGGGCAGAGCGGACGCAGTTCCGACCGGCAGACAGAAGGGAGGACCCGCCCAGGGGAGGGTCTGGTAGAGACGCGGTGGCGATCCGACTGACCGACCGACAGGTCTGCCCTGGGCCTGCCGCAGAGCTGAGCCTGGACACCGGCTGGAAGCGAGCCCGGGCTGCAGCACAGCGCCCTCCCCTGCATCAGCACAGGTTCTCCCGCCTTCTGCCACAGAGACGCTGCCACTCGCCAGGCAGAAGCTCCGCGGGAGGGGGACCCAGTCCCTCGCCCACGGCCCCCAGTCCTGCGTGCTGGACTGACACGGAGAAGGTCCTGGCGTCGAGGGCCTCCCTGCTCCGGGCTGAGACTGTCTTCTCGCCCACCTGCTGCAAGGGTGGCCTAGAGCGTGGCCTGAGCTTGCAGACCCACGCAGCGATCCCACGCAGTGAGCCCTCACCGCTCCACATCTCAGCACGGCCTGGCTCGGTCCTCAAGAGCCTGGGCAGGGCAGGCGTGACGATCACCCCCCGCCAGCGCAGGAAGTGAGGGCTTGGTCCACTCCCTCCAATGCACTCATTTCTTCCCTCAAAGCCTCCAGGGCCTGAGGCTCTGGTGCTGCCTGGGCTTGGGGGATGCAGCTGTCTCCATCCAGAGCAGCTTCCAAGTGTGCAGGCGCAGGGGCGCAGGGGAAGAGAGGGAGGCTGCTCGCTGCCGCCCACGGGTGCTCTGTACTCCCAAAGGCTCCCCGAGGACAGAGCCTGGTCTCACCCGCGCCGCTCCCGAAGCACAGGGTGCAGAGAAGGCCCGATGTTCAGTGGCACGGTGGGCCAGGCAGCCTCTCCACACCAGCCCAAGAGCAGAATGGGAGGTGGACAAAGCCATTAAACAGACCCCAGAGCTGGAGCTGAGCTTCCTTCTAACGGCCAGTGAGTCCCAAACTTAGCCAGACTCTCGATGGGTTGCCAGGGCCCCCAACACAGGCTGCAAGAGGTGCAGGCCTATAATCCCAGCACTCTGGGAGGCCAAGGCTGGAAGAGCACGAGCTTCAGCCCAGCCTGGGAAATCTGGTACTCGCAGGACCCTGTCGGTCGGGCTGGGCATGTGTGCAGCTCAGTGCCAAGGCCCTGTGCTCAAACCCCAGTACCAAGAAAGGCAGGTCGAGGGAGGGGCTGTGTCCTCCAGATGAGGCTGCAGAGGCTACCCCCCACCTGCACCCCGAAACCTCAGTCTGCACCCATCACCCCAGGACTGCCGGGCAGGGTCTGTTTACAGTCTCCTCAGTGGGACAGCCGCTTTCCCTGCCTCGCCAACCTCACCCTCCTCCTGGAGCAACTGAATTTTCCTCACACCTTGAGCTGGCCAACCCACCCAGTCTACCCACTCGTCAGTCCTCTGAGCTTCCGACCTCCAACCCAGTCAAAGGAGAGCCCCAAGTTTACTGTTATTGCTTACCCGCCCAACTGCCTCCTCACCCCAGCCCAGCCCACTGCCCTGCCAGCATGGGGAGGGACCCTCACTCCCGACCCCCCTGCCTCCAGAGCTTTCCATGTGCCTTTCACAGGCATTCTCAGTGTGGCAGCAGGGAACCCAGGCTGGATTCACCCAACTGGTTACGTGACCTTGGGCAAGTTTCTCCTTCTGGGAGCCTGAGTTTCCTCATAGACAGCTGAAGACTGCGGCCTTCTTCTCTCACACCGAAGCACTCCAGCAGCTCGGCCAGTGCGCCCCTGCCCCATAAAAGCCAGCATCTGCCTCAAGGAGCAAGCTTCTGTGCCACCCACTTGAGAGTCCGGCAGGAGCTAGGCCAGCTGTCGTGTGAGGCTCGGGCACAGAGGGGGAGGCATGGCCCCACTGCAGCCCTTCAGCCCAGCCATCGGTGCAGAAAGGCAGCCCAGGGTAGTCTCCCTAGCCAGAGAGCCCACTCCTGAGCTGGGTCAACCCTGAGAAGGAAGGGAAGAAGGGAAGAAGGGAAGAAGGGAGGGCGGGCACTGGGTCCAACAATGGGGCACAGGAAGACACTGGCTGTTGGCAGAGTCACAGCCCCACAGATGTCCACTTCTAGTTCCAGGGCTGAAAGATGTCACCTTACGCGGCAAAGGAGTCTGCAGATGGCACTACGGTTGGGGGCCCTGCAACGAGGGGATTATCAGGGAGCATGCGGGTGGTCTCCTCCCACCGTGCTGGCCCTTCCCAGCCCGACAGCTCTGCCCTTTGTGAGCTTGTGACACAGCTCCCCTCTGTCTCGGCACCCATGGACAGGGACAAACACCCTCCTGCCTTGCCTTTCTGCAGGCCAGCGCCGAGGGTCATGCAGGTGAACTGGCCCAGCACGTGTGCTCTCCCTGCCTGGCGGGGGGAGGAGGATGGGTCGGTGGAGCAGCTCCTGCTCTGGAATGTACCGCCCGCGACTCAGTTCACAGCAGCCTAGCCTCGGCACCCACCCACAGGCGACGTCTGGGAACCTAAGGTCTCTTCTGGCTCCGAGGGTCCATGTCTGGGCCCCTACCGCCCCCTCCTGGAATTCTCTAGTACTACGCAAACCCACTCCCCTGATCTCTCTGGGGCACTGAACCAAACGCAACACCAACCCTCCTCCCAGGACCCCAGGCTGACAGGGACTATCCAAGAATCACGAGCCAAAAAGCAGCTTAGTTCCTGAGCCAGTATTTGGCAAAGAGGAAGCTCCTAGGCTGTCCTCATCACTCGAAAGGGAGCAGCACTCATTCCTCCTACACCAGACATGCCCCACATGGAGGACCCCCTTCACCTCCCAGAGCGCCGGACTGGGGGGAAGTGTCAGGAGTCAGGGATCGAAGTCTGAACCTCAAGAAAGAGAAAGGAAACTTTCAACTATTAAATCTGTTTAGTAAAGACAATTTTGCTCATACAAAACAACAGTTTACAACAGTCTGAGTGCTGGATACACCATCACGGACAAAGCAGGTGCTGCAGGCACCCAGGGCCCTGTCCCCAGGCCCAGAGAGGACCCAGGTGCCCCTCCACCACCAACCCTGAGGAGCCACCCCCTTCCTCCCCAGAAGGGAGGGCAAATGTGGGACTGCAAGACAGCGAGGACTCTCCCACTCTGCTCAGTGCTGGGGGAGCCCCTCCCCTCACAGGCTGAGCTGGGGAACAGGAAAGTGGCTAGTGGGAGGGGCAGAGTCGGGACATCTTTGGTGCGAAGACTGCCCCCATCCACTAGGCCACACAATGGAGGGCCACAGAGTGGTCTCCCCTCACCACGCAGAGTAGCTGGCCGCCACCCCCCAAGCCTGGAGAGAAGCGCAAATGCAGAAGCTTTGCAGCCCGAGCCGCCCAGGCTCACCGGCATGCGATGAGGCTCCCACCGAGAAATGGCTGAAACCCAAGCAATCAACAAGCACAGGTGTTCGTGGCAAGAACGGGAAGTCCAGAGGCTGTTCAGAAGGGCAGTGCCTCTGAGGACAAGGACAGCACTGCTCGGGAAAGGGGTCCTGAGGGGTCCAGTCTTCCTGATCGCTGAGCCAGGGCCCAGCCACTCCCCTCAGCCCCGGAACCCAGCTACCAGGCAGCCCGCAGCCAGCTTGGCTCCAGATCCGGACAAGCGTCCCAGGCACTTAGGCGGGCTCAGTACGGGCAGGAGGGAGAGGCGTGGACCCCCGCAGGCCCAGGCCCACTGAGTGCGCGGCCCTGGGCGCAGGTCTGGACACGCACAATGCACACACGCACACATTCACTCCTACCTGGAGGGGCTGAGTGCAGCAGAAAAGGAGGGGCGGGCACCCCCACCCAGGGGGCCTTGAGCTCCCAGAGTGCCTGAGCCAGCGGGCTCCGGGCTGCAGTGGGAAACGGAGGCGGCGGGTCAGCACAGGCTCACTCCCCAGAGCCTTCCACAGACAGCCCTGGATCCGCCCCAGCCAGACCTTTGCAGTACCAGAGGGAAAGGGGTCTGGTGGAAAGGAAGAGGAGTGGGGGACAGGAAAGTCAAAGATTTCATAAAAACTCTCGGTCAAATCCCGGATAAAATTGCAAAATGAGCACAGGCTCAGGAGCACCTCGCTCCACTCTCTCCAACCTCCCAGCCCTTCCTCGCCAGGGCAGCCAGAGCCAAAGGCAGAATTCAGCCGCCGGCCGACCCAGTTCAGGGCTCCACACAGCTCAGGAGGAAAGAGGCGGAAGTGCACAGTCCGTGTCTCTTCATTTAAAAACATATTCACGTAGAGAGTTATTGCTTGTCCTCCAGTGGGCCGGGAGGCACAGCGGCTCAGTGGGCAAGGGCCGAAGCCTCCAGAGCCCGAGCTTTCTTCCGCCTCTTCAGAAGCAGAGGGTTAGATGCATCTTCGATCTTTTTTATCTTGATCTGCTCGTAGTCGACACGCATTGTGGCCAAGGCACTGGTCATCTCCTCCTGGGGGCAGTGGCAGCAGAAGCGGGGCACGAAGCAAAAGCAAGCCAGAGGACAGGAGAGATGGGAGCGCGCAAAAGAGCCAGGAGAGACAAGGCAGGTGGCAGGCAGGCACAGGGTGGGCCACGAGGAGAGAAGAGGGCAGGCCAGTCAGTACATCGGAGCACGTGACCTCGGAGTCACAGGGCTGGGCCAGCAGAGCCCTCCCACGTCCCTGCAGGCAGGGAAGAGCCCTGGCCTGGAGTCAGGAGCCCTCACTGGTCCCAGACAGTCACCAGCTGTGTGACCCAAAATGGGTTACTCTCCCTTTCTAGGGTTCAGTCTCCTGCACAAAACAAGGAGCCTGGACCAGAGGCCTTCGCACCCCTCAGAGACCCAAGCAGCAGCGAGGGCTCAGGAACACAGCCCCTCTGCCTAGCCGCGGGTCAGGGAAGGGCTCCGGGTGCTGTTCTTGTTGTCAGGGAGACACCCGGAACCACTCTCCTCCCCACCCGCCCCAAGCTGCACCCCAGCCTCCCACCTGCAGAGCCTCACCTTGACATCCTCCCACCGCTCCTTGTCTTCCTTCAAGACCCGGCTGGTGTGCAGTGGGGTCTGGGGGACCTTCGTGGATTGCTGGAGAAAGAGACAAGGGGTTCCAGTGAGAGTCGGGGCAGAGTCTCAGCCTGAGGGGCCCTCGAAGACCCAGAGTCCCCGCCCGCCGGGCACACCAGGCTCACCATGATCCAGGGATGGTTCATGAACTCTGTGATGGTCATTCTCTGAGTGGGCTCTGTTTTCAGCAGGTTCCGGATAAGCATTTTCACTGTTGGGTGGCAAAGGGAACAGGGGTAGCTCAGGGGCCACTCCCTGCACACTTTTCAGGGGACAGCAGCTCAAGAGGGCTGCACACAAAGGCACACTGCAGCAGCCCGAGGACCAGTGTGCTCTGCCACTCTCTGGGCCCCCATGGCTGGCAGCTGGGCCTTGACTCAGGGTCCACAGGCAGGGCCACCCAGCAGCATGAGACGGCCCGCTACATGTGCATGTGCATGCCCACACACGCATGCACGCACAAAGGGCATCTCCCCTCATCCCAAAGGCTGGGTTCCTACCTTCCTCTGATACTTCTGACCACTCTGGGTTGGGAAATTCATATTGGCCCATTCGGATGCGGGTCTTCATGCCCGGAGAGATGGCAAGGCCATGGTTGGAATAAAAGGGAGGATACCCACACAGCCTAGGCCAAGCAGAGGCAGGGAGAGAGGGACAGAGCCAGTGTTACTTAGGGGCCTGTACCAGGAGCAGGATGAGGAACAGGTTCTGTTCCTTATAAAGGTCACGAAGAAGCAGGGGCTCACTGTACAGGTGCACAACACAAAGTCAGCGATAGGCCCTCAGTCTAATGAAGAAGAATCGTCACCCCTTTCTAACCCGTTAGTTTCCGCCACCACTTAGCAGTCAGAACCCACAAAGCACGGAGAGAAGGGGGCACGCAGGGGACTGCCAGGGACTCCCCCGCCCAAAAGGGGATGCTAAGCGTCGCCTCTTCCTCTTGTCCTGCAGAGGTTCAGGCCTCACCGAGTCCCTGCCCCACCGCAGCCCAGCCCGGCCGGCCCTGCCCAGCACACTCACAGGATGTACATGATGACACCCAAGGACCACATGTCGCAGGACTTGTCATACTTCTCTGGGCCCAGCACTTCCGGAGCTGCAAACCAAGGATCACCATGGGCGGGCCTGGACCTAACCCAGTTTCTCTTGAGATGCTCCCCATCCTGACCCTTCACCCCGCCACACTGGACAGCAGCGGGGGTGGGAGAGGAGAGCGGCGCCCCCAGGAGGAGCCCTGCAGGGAGACTCTGAAGATGAAACCCTTGCCCAGCCGCCAGACTCTACTGCACTGTCTGTTCATCTCATACACACACTTTGGCAGCAGATTCTGTGCCCAGAGCCAAATCTACAGAGAACTGATGGGGATGGTGGCTCTTCTCAGGAAGACTGCCCAGGGCTGTCTAGCCCTGCCAGTCTCAAGCACACGATTCCCCCAGTCCTCAGTCCTGGCCTAACTCTGACAGCCCTGCTGGTAACGGTGTCCTGCTGGCATCAGCAAGGGCCAGCAGAACACAACTGCCCTGGGATCTGTGCCCTGAGGTCTGCCAGAACGGCGGGGGGAGAAAAGTCCTGGGGAGAAACTGCTCCCTGGGCTTGCTTCTCTGGACTCACCCACATAGTATGGTGTGTAACAAGGAGTGGTCAGAGAGTTGTGGCTGGTGGTTTCCTTGGCAAAGCCAAAATCAGTGAGCTTCAGAATAGCGTTGGGCCTTTTGGAGGTGTATAAGAGATTCTCTGGCTACAAAGAGAGACAGATGGGTTATGACCCTGGGGCCGAGAGGGCAGCCACCCAACAGCCCCGTGCCTAGCACCCGGTGCTGCACACTGAAGGCGCACGAGTCCACACGGCCGGTCCTGCCTTGCCAGGGAGACAGGCACCTGGAGGGATGAGACCGACCATGAGGCTACGGTGAGCACAGGGGCAGAAATGCCCAGGGGTGCTGGTGGGGCGCTCACGGCCAGAGGGCAGAGGACAGCACACTGCCCTCTTCTGCCCTCAGGGCTCGGGCTGGCTCTTGAGAGGCCTCTGGGGCCACCCACTCGCCACCCCATAGCCTCCCAGCACCCAGGCACGGCTGGCACCTTGACGTCCCGGTGGGCAATGTTGATTGAGTGCAAATACTGGATGGCCTCGCCGATGCTCTTCATGATCTCTGATGCTTCTGGAGAGGAGAGAGGGTGGGAGTGGAAACAAGTCTCTGGCTGGGTTGGAAAACCTGCACCTTAGTCCCAGCCTGTGCAGCCTGAGGCCCCACACCCATCACCCACTCCAGGAACAAGGAAGCCAGGAGCTGCCCGACCAGCTGAGGGACCCACCCGGGTAGGCAGCAAGTGGAGGGGCAGCAGTGTCCCAGCCCACCCACACAGGCCCTGCTACCTCTTTCTGTGAATGCCTGGTCTCCTCGGTCCTGGATTCGGCTGAAGAGCTCTCCACCATCCAAACTGAAAGGGAGCCCCGTGTGAGCCGGGGACACACAGCCCACCCCCACTCCACTCCCCCAGGGTTGTCAAGGCCCAGGACCACACTGGGGTGTCCTCAGCGGAGGGGCTCCTTGCAGGCTGGGGACAGGCTGGGCCAGACACACAGCAGGCTGCCTACCACTCCATGACAATCAGCAAGCACTTCCTCCCCGCATACAGGTTCTCGTAGACGTCCACGATGCGCACAATGTGAGGGCACTGGGAGGCCCGCCAGTGCAGCTCCACTTCCCTGCGGGCCTTTGGGCAGTCCTGCAGCATCTGCAAGCCAAGCCCCTCCTGAGCACACCAGTCTGGTGAGGGGGGGGGGCACCTTCCACGCCCCAGTCCCACTTCCTCTAGCCTCACAGCAGCTTCCCTCGCCTCTCCTTCTAGATCCCGGGAGGACTTTGCAGCGAATCTACCTGCTCCACAGAAAACCTCAACACGGCTCCTCAACGTGACCCCGCAGGGCCTTGACAGCGCGGCAGAAGTCAGCCCTAGCTGCGCTGAGCGCAGGGCCTGAGGTGCACAGAAGGCACCAGCAGCAGGCGGTGCAGGGGCACAATGGGTAAGGATGCGGGGAGAGGCAGGCCGAGAAGAACCAAGACAGTAGAAGAGGGACCTAGAGGGGAGACTCCAGACTCGGACTCGGCAGGTCAGGCACCTCCACACTTGCTTAGACCCACACACCACGCCACAGCAGGCCTTCTCTCTGCCAGTGGTTGACTTCGACCAACAGACAGGGACCCCCCCACCCCCGAGTCAGCCGGCACAGTTCTTACCACATCTGAGACCCTGAGCGAGTCACAGCCCTCCCCTGAGCTGCTCTTCTTCCCTAACCAGTCAAGGTACTGAAGGCAGCTGGGCCGTCACCAGCCTCCAGGGCTGAATCCTGGCCAGTGTACACCAGGCTCGTTTGTTCAGGGCTTTCGTCAGTGACTGGCTTAGGAACAAACCTAAGAACCAACTGTCCCAGAAGAGCTTCACAGGAAATCTACAGAGAAGCCACGGCTAAACAGGACAAGGGACCCCCATCATCTGTCCTGTAAGTGGCGCGTGGGACCATGCCAATCACCCTGGAACTCCGGAGGGGGCCGCCTGTCATTACTGAGCAGACAAATCAGTTCACTGAAGAGTCAAGCAGCACACCCTTGCTGACATCGCAAGAGTCCCTCGTGACTTCTTTGTGGTACAGTGAGCTTTCCTGACTGCTTAAATTGACCTTAGCACAACATGCTCATTGACTGGAGCCAAAGCATCTTGGTACACCTCTCCTTTGTAGAATGGGTGACAGCCCCACGAATATGTGTGAGGATTGAGTGAAATATTCCTGCAAACAATCCAGCAGAGGGCAGCCCTGTGCTCAGTAACAGTCGCTTCATTTCCATCATAGTGCCAGCTAAGCTCCTACGAAGATGCTAAAATGCGGACAACGGCCCACATAGACTTATCACTGAGTAGTCAAGACCAGCCTCCAGCCCCCTTGGGACATTTCACGGCCTGGGGTGTCAGAGAGAGAGAGGGAGTCGGGCTGGGGAGCCAATGGACAGGCAGCACGGGAGATGTCAAGAGCTGGGCAGTGAGTAACTGCCATGGACCAGGGACAGGACGGGTAGGTGGGTGATGCCGCGGGGAGGGCTTAGAGGCTGCTGGAAGTGCACAGGCCTGCTGCGGAAGCTCAGACAGCACAATGCTGCCCGAGCACAGAGGGCAGGGACAGGCCAACAGGGATTCTCAACAATAAAACCAGCACGCATTTAGGATACGGCCCATGGTGTGCGTGGCCTTTTCTGATTGGACAGCAATTACCATTTTTACAGGATGAGAGAACTGAGGCTCAGGGAAGTAGCAGCCCAAGCCTACATTTCTGGGACAAGACAGCGCCAGCGCTGGCATCTGGGCCTGAAAAATTCTAAGCCTTTCCACTGTAACCACCCAGCTCTAAAGGGGACGCTAGAGGGTGAGACTTCAGAGGGACTCTGCAGCGGCAATTCCCCAAACAGGTGGCAGGAAGAATCAGCAGCTAGACAGGTCAGGTTCTCCCCACACCGAGCGCTGCGGGAGGCAAGGTCCCTGTGGAGCCACACTGCCACCTTGTGGCCCAGAGTCCTGAGTTCCACCACTTTCTCCTTCATTCATCTGGACAGAGCAAGAAAAGACGCCTTTTATTTCCCCATGCTCTAGGAGCAGGAGGAGGCACCAGCCAACCTCATGTGTACCTGATTAGATTCAACAAGCATTTACTGCACTCCTAGTACAGGCCATGCACTGTGCTGAAAGTCAAGACCTGACAGCAGAGTCTTGATCTGAAAGTTCAGGCTCGTAAGGAGGGGAAGGGAAAATACAAGAGAGGGTAGAGACAGAAAATCCTCAGAGCCCAACTCTTCCAGGTGAGAAGCAGCCTCCCATGGGAGCGCTCCACATCTGCAGGAGGGCGGGGAAAGGGAGGTGCAGACAGCTCCCAGGCTGCCCGCATCTTCCACAGCTGGATGCACAGCCTGGGGAGAAACGAGAACACTGCCACTCACACGGGTGGTGTGGGTGACAGGCAGGAGAAAGCCTGAGGGTGACGGCACAGGAGCATGAGTTAAGAGACCAACTCTCAGACACTGGGAACTGTGGTTTGGGATCCAGGAACATAAATTACTGGGATCAAATGTGATCCAGGCACTGGTGTCCACTGCGTAGTACAGGCTCCATACCACAGACGAGCGCAGGAGCGGCAGCTTGGAGCCGGCACGTGTTCAGCAAGGGGAGACCACGCGCCCTCCCAGCAGTGCGACGCAACCATTCTTCCTGGCAGATTCTATTCAAAAGGTCAATAAAAAATTTCCACTGGGCGGAGCATGGTGGCGCACACCTGCAATCTCAGCACTCTGGAAGACTGAGGCAGGGGGTCACAAGTTCAAGCCCAGACAGGGCAACTTAGCCAGACTCGGTGTTAAAAATAAGAAAGGGCTGGGGATGTAGCTCAGTGTGCAGGCCCTGGGTTGAATCCCCATTAAAGCTTTCAAGTAAAATCTTCCCCAAAAAGCTTACAACCCAGTGAGACAATGCCCCATAAGAATGCTGAGCCCACAGCGTCCACAGCAGCCCAGCAGGAAGGGCCTCTGTCACCCCCTACAGGTGCACAGGACCAGCGATCCAGGAAGGAAAGTTGAAGGCTGTCCAGTTTACTCAGACTTTGCCGCCACGTGGTTGTGGATTTACCCCGAGGAAGGACTTGAGTCCAGGACTGGAGTTTGTCGATTTGGGACTCCACAGCCTGGGGAGGTCAGGAGTCCACGCCAGCTCTGTGTCTACAGGCGGAGGCGATGACCCCAGCCTGGCCTCTCCCTCACAGAGCCCTTGCGTTGTCTCACAAAATGAGCCGAGAAGTGAGAGGCGCTCATCACTGCAAAGCAGGAGCGCTGCTGCCAGGGAGGGCAGGGCCATCACTGAGCTGAGGCTGCAGCCCACAGCTCTGCAGGCCGGGTTCCTGTCCTCGGCCGGGGAGCCAGCACCCGGCATCTGTGCCATCTCAGTGACATGATGCCCCAGACATGCGCAGGACCTGGTGCCAGGACTCGGAGCTCCAGGCAAGTTCTGCTCCTCCCGCCAGAGAGGTCCAGCACAGCTCCGGGCCAAAGGAAACTGAGCCCTGTCCACACCACACTTCAGGCTCAACCAGATGCCTCAGCAGGCGTTGTGGACAATGAACCCAGGCTGCAGAACCGGAGGGTACAAACCCAGGCCAGCACTGCCCGGGGCTAGAAGCCAAACTACCTCGCCAGTCAGTCAAGCTGGAGTCAATCTCCCAAAATAATATTCCTGAAGATGACCGAGAATATTAGACAGAGTATTTTTCTTCTTTTAAAAGAAAAAAAAGTAGCCCTTTGCACATTTGTACCTTTTCTCCCCAACCCAAGTTTCTAAAGGTCATGATCAAATTTGATTTCTGTTTAATTCCTCCCCTCTCCCTTCCCTTGCCCAGATGTGCTGAGTTTTCCTACGCTGGGAGAAGTTTCTGTGCACACCGTGGCCCGTCGCTCCCTCTCTGTTACCTGAACTGTCTCACAGATGCCCTCCCTGAAGGTGACTGACAGGGGAGCTGCAGCAGGTCCTCTCACCTTCTCTGCAGGAAGTAAACTGGGAAGAGATGGACCTCAATTCTAAGAAACACAGTAACAATTTCCCAGGAAGACACCCCCACCATGGCAACCGACGTACCCTGGGCACAGGTTTATCAGAGATTCTTGGCTACATCTGAAAATCAACCAGAACAATGAAAGCAAGAGCTTCGCACTGGTCGGCAGCCTGGATGGCACCAGGGGCTGAGCACAAAGTGCCACAGACACCTACACACAGTGTGCAGCACAGAAAGCTGGCAGAGAGCAATCAGGAATGTGCTCATTTGGGGCCAGAGATTTAGCTCAGTGGTTCTGCCACCTGCCTCAAAAGCGCAAGGACCTGAGTTCGATACCCAGTACCAAAAAAAAAAACAAAAAACAATGTGCTCATCTAGAGTACAAGTAAAGAACAGGACAGTGGCTGAGCTCCCAGCTAGGTCAGAGGGTAGGCAGTGAGCAAGGTTCCCAGGCCACTGCCAGAGCCACCAGCAGAGTGAGCTAGGGTAGCAGGTGCAACCAGCAGCCGGGAGAGTCACACGGAAAAGGACCCACTCCTCTGGCATGGACAAGGACAATGGAGACCAAAGGGCCCAGGACCACAGTTCTGAGGGCCAGAGACTACACCGGGGAAGGCCTACCCACTGAGAAGCCACAAGCGTCCCCAGGAGCAACTGACATGCGTGAGCCCGTGCTAAGCCTGGCACCCACACTGCACTGACTCAGCCCCGTGCGGTTTGCATCTGAAATCATCCTGCACTGCAGAAAAGGTCAGTTGTGCATGCTCACACCGTGCGACAGCCAAGGCCACCTGCCCAGTTGGCAGGGGTCCGGACCAGCCACAGGGTCCACAACCCGGGGAGGGGCCTCCAGGACGGCAGCAGTGAGAGACGGATGGTTCCAGGCCTCCCTGGAGGCCAGAGATGGGCCCTCCATTCAGGCTATACCTGGACTCCGTTGGCCCTGACTTTTCATCACAGGTCCAAGATGAGCACCAGAGAAAAGGGAAGAAATACAGGACCTGGGGCCTGAGGTGCCGCTCAGCAGCAAGGCCGATATGAGGACAAGGTTGGCAAGGAAAAAGCCGCAGGCCTCAGTGATCAACCCGCACAAGCCCCACTCCCTACTGGCTGTGTGAAATAGGGAGTTTTTAAACTGTTCCCTTATCTGTTG